TGAGCTCCTCCCTAGTTTGGATTGTTTTATGCTTGGTGGAGAGGACTCAAGTGATGCTAGTGATGTGAAGGGGAAGGAAGATGACTTAGATAAGGTGGAGAAGGAAGATTGTCAGACTGATTCTTCTATTGTTACTCCTTCTCCATCTAATCTAAAGCCCCTTCCCTCCCACATTGACTATGCGTTTTTAGATGATAGTTCTAACCTCCCTGTTATTCTTGCATCCGGGCTTGAGTCATCCCAAAAATCTGCATGTCTTGATTTACTTTGTGAACAAAGGGAAGCTCTAGCCTGGAAACTTTCTGACATGAAAGGAATCAGTCTAGCTTTCTGCACTCATAAAATTTTGATGGAAGATAATGCTAAACCGGTAGTGTAGCCACAAAGAAGACTGAATCCTAATATGCAGGAGGTGGTTAGGGAGAAAGTCATTTTTCTGTTAGATGTAGGCATTATTTATCCGATTTCAGACAGCCCTTAGGTCAGCCCGACCCAGGTGGTTCCCAAGAAAAGGGGGATGACTGTGGTTAAGAATGAGAAAGATGAGTTGATTGCTACATGTACGGTCACCAGATGGCGGGTTTGCATTGATTACCGAAGATTGAATGCCGCCACCCCGGATGGACCACTTCCCCTTCCCCTTCATTGATCAGATTTTCGAGAGTCTAGCAGGGCATAAGTTTTACTGTTTCCTTGACGGGATGTCAGGATACTTCCAGATCCCCATAGCCACTAAGGACCAGGATAAGACCACTTTCACATGTACATTCGGTACCTTTGTTTATCGGAGGATGGCGTTTGGATGAAGTAATGCCCCTGCTACCTTTATGAGATGCATGCTTTCTATTTTGGGGGTTTTTATTAGGAAGTTTATGGAGGTTTTCATGGATGACTTTTCTGTGTATGGTGATACTTTTGATGAGTGCTTAGAGAATTTAAAGAAAGTTCTGGTTAGGTGTCGAGAGGTGAATTTCGTGCTTAACTGGGAGAATTGCCACTTCATGGTTAGTGAGGGAGTGATCCTAGGGCATAAGATTTCGAGTAGGGGGATTGAGGTTGATCCGTCTAAGGTTGATGTGATTTCTAAATTGCCTCCCCCTACCTCGGTCCGTGCCATTAGGAGTTTTCTCGGACACGCAGGTTTCTACCGTAGGTTCATCTAGGACTTTTCTAAGATAGCCCGACCCATGACTAAGCTCCTTGAGAAGGACACACCGATTGACTTCTCAAAAGAGTGTTTAGAGGCTTTTGAGTGTTTGAAGGAGAAACTGGTCAAGGCACCGGTGGTAGTAGCTCCTGACTAGTCTTTGCCTTTTGAGATTATGTGTGATGCTAGTGATTTTTCAGTAGGAGCCATTCTTGGGCAGTGTCGAGAGAAACATTTTCAGCCTATTTCTTATGCTTCTAAGACTCTCGATAGTGCCCAAGAAAACTGTACTACCACCGAGAAAGAATTGTTTGATGTTGTGTTTTCTCTTGACAAGTTTTGTCCTTATTTGATTTTGTCTAAGGTAGTGATATTCACCGATCATTCTGCTCTTAAATATTTGATGCAAAAAGTGGATGCTAAGCCTAGATTGATTCAGTGTATATTACTGCTCCAGGAGTTTGATATTGAGATAAGGGACAAGAAAGGGGCTGAGAATTTAGCAGCTGATCACTTGAGTAGGTTAGAAAACCCTTTCTTGATTCCTTGAGCGAGAGAGATATTAGGGTATTTTTCCTGATGAGAGACTTTTGTGTATCATTGATGAGGTTCCTTGGTTTTTTTAAATACCAAGGAAATAATTTACTCCCTCTGTTCCGAAAATATTCGCCAAATTTACTTTTCTCAGTCAATGCCAATCAACTTTGACAATCAACTTCTTATAAAAGACTAGGCGTCACGCATTAGTTGCGGGCAATTTATATCTACACCCGGGTGTACATGTACACCCGGTTTTTTTTGTAATTAGTAGACTGAGCTTCTTCCTTCTCTTTTCTGTATTTCGCCGCTGGCCGCTGCTTTGTTTCTTTTCTTTTTTTATTGCCCTTTTTTAATTTTTTTCAGCAGCTCATCCAGTCATCCTTACTTCTCTTTTTTTGTGTTCATCCGCTTTTTGTGTTCATCCGCTGCTTCATTTCTTTTCTTTTGTTTATTGACTTTATTCCCCTTTTTTGTTTTTGTTTGCTTGTTTCTTTTTTTCTTTTCTTTTGCTTGTTATGTTCTTCTTTTCTTTAGCAACCTTCTACTTTAATGTTATATATATTCAATTATTACGAAAACGTAAAATATAAATATTATTGAATGGATATGTTTCAGTTTATTTTTTAGATTCAGATCATGTAGAAGTCGATTATAGATAGAGGAGCACAAACCATGATACTGAATTGCATGTTTCAAATACTCAGTAGAGGAGGTTTGATACTCAATAAACATGTCTTGAAGTTCAACTAAAAAAACTTATGATTTTCATATCAATACTAATTTTGTAAGTTACGTTTGTTCAATTTGTACTCATATTGTGCTCATTTTTAAAATGTCATATTCATACAAATTTTAAAAGTTGCATATGACATTAGATTCACATTATTCAAACGAATAAGTCTGATGCTCATTAAAAGTGTTTTAATGTTCATAATATGTCTGATGCACATTAAAAGTTCATTAATTCTAATTTAACAGAAACTGTGATTTTCATCTCAATACAGGAGGTTTGATGTTCAACAAAAATGTCGTTACGTCAAACTAGCAAACCTTACGATTTTCATATCAATGAACATTTCGTAAGTTACGTATGCTCATCTGGTACTTATCTTATGCTCATTTTCTTAGTGTCATATCAATGCATTTTTTAAAGTACTATTTTACATTAGATTCACATATTGAAATTCATAGGGTTGATTATAAATATAATTTAACAAGTTTTTATGAAAGAAAAAAAAAACAAAAAGAAAGTGAATTAGAAGGTATGAAGCAGAGATCACGATTCTGAATATTAGATTCCTAATACTCAACATAATAGGTCTGATGCTCATTAAAAGTTCATTAATGCTCATTCACCAGAAACCGTGATTTGACGCTCATTGTTAGTCTCCTAATACTCAATAAAATAGGTCAGATGCTCTATTGATTTGACCTATTTTCAAGGCATTTAATTGAGCATCAAGACATTTTCATTGAACATCAACTTTCCTCTATTGAACATTGAATTGGAACTTTGCAATTGAGTATCATGGTATGTGTGCTAGCTCTAGTATCTATAATCAATTCCTACGTCAATCTAATGTAATATGATACTTTTGAAGTATGCATTAATATTACATTTTAAAATGAGCATAACACTAGTATTAAATGAGCATACATAAATTATCAAATGAACAATGATATGAAAATCATAAACTTAGTTAGTTGAGCATCAAGACATTTTCATTGAACATCAAACCTCTTCTATTGAATATCAGAAGCATGCAATTGAGTATCATAATTTCTGCTCCCATGTGAATATAATATAATACTATTGAAATATGCATTAATATGACACTTTAAAATGAGTGTAAAACCAGTACTAAAGAGCATACATAACTTCCAAAATGAGTATCGAAAAATTCAAAAGCTCGTTTGAATTCTCTAATGTGTTTAATGTTCACTTGTGCACATATATTATAATGGCAAATATAATAATGACAAATATAGTAATTTTTTTAGGAAAAGAAAGCGTTATTGATGATAGAAGCAAAATACAAGAGCTAATAAAGGTAGAAAGTAAATGGGAAAAAACATTAATGAGGAAAACACGAAAGAAAGAAATTAGTAAGGTTGGGTATGTTGTCTGGTGTTGTGTAATCGTGTTTGCTGCCTGGTCTCAATAGTCCTAGGCGTTGATTCATTGCGTCTTTTGGATTTTTTGGAAACAACAACCGTGAATCCTTCTTCTTCTAATGGTATGTGAGCCATTCTGTTTAATTGTTGATCCATATTATAGTAATTTTATATTAAAAATAATTTATAGTCCTTCGTTCTGGAATTACAAATATAGTCGGGTTCTTCTTATAATGTTTTTACTCATGCATATTTATTTTACACTACTCATTTTAGTATAACACAAAATTCATGTTAGTAATTAGCACATTATATTTAATAAACTAATAAATATTTATCTTAAATTCAAAATAGAAAAATACAATATTAATATCTTAAATATTTATCATAAATTAAAATCAATGGAAAGGTGGTCAAGAAAAAAGGAAAAAGAAATAAAAGTAAACATCGCGTAAAAAAAAAGATATATGTAAAGGTGGTTAAGACTTGAGAGACGGACGAAGGTTGCTGGGTAAACAACGCGCTGCACATACGCACACTGTGACGACATACGCAGGGAAAGAGCGGACAGAAGAAGCAGGATCTAATAATTATTGCCATTCAAATTAGAAATAATTACAAAAATATCGGGTGTACATGTACACCCGGAGTTGCGCAACAAAGTCAAAAGTGTTGCAACAAAAAGAGAATGGAGAAAATATCAAATAATTAAAGTGGTGATATGAATGCAAAATCAACGGTTAATTAAATTAAAGCCAGTGAAGATTGATTTGTCTTAGAGAAAATGAAAACTAGTAATCCAACTTTTTAGTTGTCTTTTTACAATAGTCTCATACGTAATTCAGAAATAATTCAATCTTTGCACTCCATTTGCATACTGCATACATAATTCAGAAATAATACGTTATTCCCATTTTCCGTCTTCCTATTCTTATTTTTATTTCTTTTCCATGTTTATGTATTCCACTTTTCCCTCTTTTTCTTCTTCCCGTTTATTATTCCATTTTCAGTTTTATACGAAGTATATATTTTTGAATTAGTTTCCTGCTTGTAAAATATCTTTTTCTCATTATACTAACTTTTTACTTAACTTTTTTTACCTATTTATTTCCTTTTCCTTTAATTTTTGACTTAATGTTTCATAGGTAGAAAAAATAACAGCTTAATCAATTTGACGGGAGGGTAGTTAATTAATTACCTTGTCCCAACCGTAATCGTTCAAAATAAGAGACAAATTGGGTTGAATTTTAAAGGGTCCATTCTCATAGAACAAAGCAATCTCACTGCCGCATCCCGGTCCTCCAGTGAGCCATATCACCACCGGATCGCTCTTGTTTAGCCTTGACTCAAAGAACAAGTAAAACATACTGCATGCATGCAATTGTACGTAGAACGTATTACTGTATTAGTCAAATAATATATAGAAACATGATTTTAGTTGGTATATTTGTGAGAAATTTAAAACTTAGGCACTAAATCAGCAAGTATCTGTATATGAAATTATGAGGGTGAGTATGTGACAACTCTGGTACCCATTTAAAAATGGGATACCATATTATCACTCATTTGATTGGTCCAAGACATTATATCACTTTTATATTTCATTTAAATAATTCAACTAGAATATTTTGATCAGTCCATGTGGATAAAAGTATGGTACCTTATAAGTATCATAGAGTCTACCAATTATGAATAGAATATGTACTCAACTTATTATCAGATTGATCGAATTGATCATGGTGTGTGTAACCAAAATTCCTATAAACAATTTGTTTATTGAGACATAACCTAGGGTGAATAGGGTGTTTGGAGTTGATTCTGTTTATGCTTCTTTTTAAAAAGTAGAAGCAGAATCATAATCAGTTTTTCAGAAATTGGTTTCCCTCAGCTTATAAAAAACTACTATTAGGAGTAATTTGGAGCGCTCAGAAATACTTTTGTACTTTAACCCAAACACTTCAATATTTGTTTATACTTTCTGAATGAGGGAAGCAGTTTTAAGAAATAAACCCCAAACACTCCCATATATGTAGAATTCCAGCTCCCAGCAAGCCCACTACATCCTCCATACCATGGGATGGTCTTCCATCTCCTGCCCACTGAAGAGAAGCATGGAGAGGCATGGAGAGGAGGCATGGGTTGTAGCATGGGTTGTAGCATGGGCACCAATGAATATGTCTCCAGCCTTGCCTATAAATAGAATGCTCTTCCCTTGTTCAAAGGTATCAAAATTCGGAGTGAAAGAGTGAGAGCAATATACATAGAGTGTGAGTATATGAGAGGGTTGGTTTTTTGTAATAGTTGAGTGAGAGAGTTGCTCCTCCTATTGTAATTCTGTTCTGGTTATGAATAGAAGAATTTTTCAATCCTAACAAGTGGTATCAGAGACAGTTTAATCCAGAAACCCGGATTTCTTCATTCTGCCCGAATTTTTGGTCAAAATTTTTTTGTTCCAGAATCTTGTTTTGAGGCCACCATTAGAAAGCTCTCGTTCTGAGGATTCCAAAAATATATTTTTCGGAATTTTTTGACCACCGGAAGGCCTCCAAACGCCCGGTCAAAGTTTCTCTCTCCTGCCAATTATTGCCGCTGCAATACTGCAGTCCGCCAGCAGACTCGCCGGAGAAGACGACCAGTCAGCACGCCACGTCATTGCCACATCAGCGCCCAATCATCCGCCACGTCACCGACGGCGACCTATTGGACCACCAGCTGTGCCACGTCATCTGCCACCTCAGCAACACGTCACTGCCCAGGTGGTGCCACGTCATCAGCCTGGTTGGCTGCCCACTGGTTTGGGCCAGAACCGGTCCGGTTCGGTTTGTGGTTCAATACTCCGGTTCACGCTCTTCCCGGCCGGTTCTTGAAGAGGTGAGACCGGTTCCCACCATTTTCGGCCATTCCGGATTCAACGGTGTGCTCCGTTTGGCCTAATTCAGCTTCCAAATTGAGGTACGGGAATAAGTGTACATATTTATCATGGAAAAGTCATCTTCGGATACAATGATTGCGCTCACTTCCACAAATTACAACATGTGGAAACCACGGATGGAGGATTTGTTAAATTTGAAAGATTTAGCAGATCCTCTTGATAATAATGGCGTCAAACCAGATAAAAAGACGGATGAAGAATGGGCTAAGATGAACAGAAAAACTATCGCACAAATCCGACAGTGGATTGATCATAGCGTGTTCCATCATGTTTCTCAAGAGCAAAGTGCTCACACACTATGGGAGAAACTTAGTAGCATGTACCAAGCAAAAACTGCTCAGAATTAAACGCTGCTGATGAGACGATTAGTGAACCACAAGTTACGTGGTGGCATTTCGGTGTCGGAACACACGAGCCAGTTCCAGGATCTTGTGAATCAATTGAGCACCACCGGATGGGTCCTCAAAGATGAAGAACAAGCAATACTTTTGCTTAGCTCTCTACCTGATAATTGGGAGACTCTTGTTGTTACTCTCAGTAATTCTGCCCCAAATGGTGTCGTGACTATGCAGATGGTCACGGATGCCTTGATGAATGAGGAAGCACGAAGGAAGGAAGCTGGGACTGATCAGTCTTATGCTCTCGTCTCAGAAACCAGCAGGCGAGGGGGAGGCAGAAAGGGAGGTAGAGGACGAGGCCGAGGTAGAGGCAGATCTCGAGGTCAAAGTAGAGGGAGATCTCAAGTTCGAGGAAGATCACAAGAGCGGGGGAAGTCCGTCGATACCAATACTTGGTTCGAGGGCTATTGCAACCATTGTGGTCATTATGGGCACAGAAAGAGGGAATGCCGAAAGTTTCTACGGGAGCAGCCTCAGACGAGTCAAAGTTCAAGCAAGGAAGATGGTGAGACCATGGTCACCATGGCACCGGACATTGCACTTGTTACTTGCGGAGAAGAAGCATGCCTACACGTAGGTACGCATGATATTGAGTGGGTGATTAATACCGCTGCATCATTTCACGCCACTCCGCACCAAAGTCTATTTGCAACTTATAATTCCGGACACCATGGTGCTGTGAAGATGGGAAATACGAGTTTCTCGAACATTGTTGGCATTGGAGATGTGCACATTCAAACAAGTGTTGGCTGCACACTTGTGTTGAAAGATGTTCGACATGTTCCAGATCTGAGATTGAATCTTATCTCAGGAGTTGCTCTGGATCGTCAGGGGTATGAAAGCCAGTTCAAAGAAGGTACGTGGAAATTATCTAAAGGCTCTATGATTATTGCAAGAGGTCATATTTGTGGTACTCTTTACAAAACCCATGTAAAGTTGTGTCGTCCAAGTCTCAATGTTGTTCAAGCAGAGACATCACCAAATCTGTGGCACCGGAGGTTAGGTCACATGAGCGTGAAAGGACTGACAACTCTTGCAAAGAAGGAAGCAATCTTTATTGATAAAGATGTCGCTCTGGATCCCTGCGAGCACTGTCTATTTGGGAAACAACATCGAGTTTCTTTCAGTTCCACTAGAAAGAATCATTCTGAAATACTCGATCTTGTCCACTCTGATGTATGTGGACCCATTGAAGAGGAGTCACTTGGAGGCAGCAGATATTTTGTGACATTCATTGATGATGCGTCACGAAAGGTATAGGCTTATTGTCTCAAATCTAAGGATCAAGTATTTGATCGCTTTAAAATATTTCATACTATGGTAGAAAGAGAGACAGGAAAGAAGCTGAAGTGCCTTCGTTCTGACAACGGAGGCGAGTACACTTCCCGGGAGTTCTCAGCATATTGTGCTGAACATGGAATCAGGCATGAGAAGTCGGTGCCACGGACCCCACAACACAACGGTGTAGCCGAAAGAATGAATCGAACTATTGTGGAGAAAGTTCGGTGCATGCTCAGTATGGCTACATTACCAAAGCCATTCTGGGGCGAAGCTGTGTTGACAGCTTGCTATCTTATAAACAGGTCACCCTCAGTTCCCTTAAACTTTGAAGTTCCTGAGAAGAAATGGTCAGGAAAAGACATTTCTTACTCTCACTTGAAAGTGTTTGGGTGCAAGGCATTTGCACATGTTTCCAAGGAGTTGAGGCAAAAACTTGATCTTAAGTCGAACCCATGCATCTTCATCGGCTATGGAGATCAAGAATTTGGATACCGGTTGTGGGATCCCGAAATGAAGAAAGTTATTCGAAGCAGAGATGTAGTGTTTCATGAATCCCAATTTCATGATTTTACTCCAACACACAACAAACAACATCTCTCTCATGCTCCTGAAGACGTTCCTGTAGTATCACACGTTCCTCTCAACAACGAAAAAATGAGTGATAATACTGAACCAGTGAATGATGGCCCAGTAGTTGTTGATGATGTTCAAAATGGAGGAATTCCTGAGCAGGGGGAGCATTCATCTGAAGGCCACACTGACAACACACAACTTCGACGTTCTACGCGAGGTACTGTTCCACAAAGAAGGTACCCGACATCTGAATGGATCCTTCTTACCAGCGAGGGGGAGCCAGAGAGCTTTCGAGAAGCTCAATCTCATCAAGACAAGTCCAATTGGTGGGAAGCCATGGGAGATGAGATGAAATCCTTGCAGAAGAACCAAACTTATGACTTGGTGCCACTTCCCAAAGGAAAGAAAGCCTTGAAAAACAAATGGGTTTTTAAGGTGAAGAAAGATGTCAAGGGAAATATTGTGAAGCACAAGGCAAGACTCGTGGTCAAAGGATTCCAACAAAAACAGGGAATTGATTTTGATGAGATCTTTTCGCCGGTTATGAAGATGATGTCGATCCGAGTGGTACTCGGGTTGGTTGTCAGTCTAAATCTTGAACTTGAACAGATGGATGTGAAAACAGCATTTCTCCATGGTGATCTGAAAGAGGAAATATACATGGAGCAACCCGAAGGTTTCCAAGTTCCAAAGAAAGAACATCTTGTTTGCAGGTTAAAGAAGAGCCTGTACGGCCTCAAGCAAGCCCCGAGGCAATGGTACAAGAAGTTCGACTCATTCATGGTGAAGCACCAATACAGGAGAACAGTGGCAGACCATTGCGTGTACTTGAAGAAGTTCCCAGATGGAAAATTTATCATCCTTCTGCTCTATGTGGATGATATGCTGATAGTAGGCCAAGATGTGTCTCTCATCAACAACTTGAAGCAAGATTTGTCTAAGTTTTTTGATATGAAAGACTTAGGCCCGGCGCAACAAATTTTGGGCATGAAAATTGTTCGTGATCGGAAGGCAATGAAGTTGTTCTTATCACAAGAAGAGTATGTTGAACGCGTGATCAAAAGGTTCAACATGGATAATGCCAAACCTGTAGGCACTCCGCTAGCCAATCACTTCAAGTTGAGTAAGGAAAGTTGTCCTTCTTCTGAGAAAGAAAAGGAGATGATGAAAGCAGTACCCTACTCTTCAGCAGTAGGAAGTTTGATGTATACAATGGTGTGTACAAGACCTGATATTGCTCACGCGGTTGGTGTTGTAAGTAGGTACTTGTCAAATCCAGGAAGAGAACATTGGGAAGCTGTCAAATGGATACTTAGGTATCTGAAGGGTACATCAAAGCTATGCTTGTGCTACGGGGGAGCGAAACCAATCTTGGAAGGTTATACAGATGCTGATATGGCTGGAGATCTTGATAGTAGAAAATCTACTTCAAGTTACATATTCACACTAGCAGGGGGAGCCGTCTCATGGCAGTCCAAGTTGCAGAGGTGTGTAGCATTGTCTACGACAGAAGCTGAATACATTGCCGCCGTTGAAGCCGGGAAGGAGCTCAAGTGGCTGAAACGTTTTCTCCAAGAGTTGGGCTTTCCTCAAGAGGAGTACATCATTCACTGTGATAGTCAGAGTGCTATGGATCTTAGCAAGAACTCAATGTATCATTCACGCACAAAACATATCGATGTTCGATATCACTGGCTTAGAGAAGCAATTGAGAAAGATGAACTAAAGCTCTCCAAGATACACACAAATAAAAATGTGGCAGACATGCTAACTAAAGTGGTACCACACGAGAAGCACAAGCTATGTACAAGCATCATTGGAATGAGAGAATTACGGAGGAAGCTGGAGGGGGAGATTTGTAGAATTCCAGCTCCCAGCAAGCCCACTACATCCTCCATACCATGGGATGGTCTTCCATCTCCTGCCCACTGAAGAGAAGCATGGAGAGGCATGGAGAGGAGGCATGGGTTGTAGCATGGGTTGTAGCATGGGCACCAATGAATATGTCTCCAGCCTTGCCTATAAATAGAATGCTCTTCCCTTGTTCAAAGGTATCAAAATTCGGAGTGAAAGAGTGAGAGCAATATACATAGAGTGTGAGTATATGAGAGGGTTGGTTTTTTGTAATAGTTGAGTGAGAGAGTTGCTCCTCCTATTGTAATTCTGTTCTGGTTATGAATAGAAGAATTTTCCAATCCTAACAATATAAACATAGCATTTGATAGTCATACTATAAGAAGTTTATTTAATTTGAAGCTTTCAACTGGCATTTTATATAACATGTGTAGTATATACGAAGTATATATATACCTTGCATTTATAGTATTTTGAAGCTTAAAATAACCGGCATGCTGGCTTAGGTTGGCAATACCATCACCATTTTGAAGAGTAGAGCCAGACTGGCCAAGGTAATCAAGCTTGAAGGGCTTCTCGATGAGCGTCGGCTGATCGGCGGGAACCGCTCCGGCTGCTTCGATCCTGAGCTGATCATCATGGACGCTGGGAAACAGGTTAAGATTCCTGATCAACCTTTCCGCGACTTGGGAACCCTCGGAACGAGGACTGTTTTTGGAAGCCTTGAATAAAGCATCTGTTTCAGCTGCTGTTGTTTTTGAGAGTGAGAAGGGGAGGAAGAGGAGGAAGAGGAGTAGCGAGGAAGTTAGAAGCAGACTTGGAGCTGCAGCCATTTTCTAATTCCTTGGCTTTAATTTGTTGTGTGCAAGTTAATTAATTATGGTTTTGGCGTTTGAAACTCAATTATTTTTGAAATATATAGAGGCGACGATATGATGTTCTTTTGTCCCTTCCCAATAGCCCGTCAAAATCTTTAATTAAATATTACTTTTTGTATTTTTCTTTATTTATAATTCCTACTTTTAAGGAATTTCCAATTTAACTCCTTAATTACCGGAGTATATAATATAATTAAATCAAAAGCAAAGGTAACTTTTGGAAAGACTTTTATTTGGTTAATTATATACTCCGTATTTGGATACAATTTTGTATTTCATCTCTGCTTAAGGATGTTTTTACTTGGACTGTAATTTGCCCCAGACCAGACCAGACCAGATCAGTCCAGACCAGACCAGTTCAGACCAGACCAGACCAGACCAGACCAGACCAGACCAGACTTGGATAGTTATAAAAATACAAAGAAACCAGACCTTACCAGACCAGACCAGACCAGTTCAGACCAGACCAGACCAGATCAGACCAGACCAGACCAGACCAGCAAATTACAGTCCAAGTAAAAACATCCTAAATATTACAATCTTTCTTCTTTTCTTCTAAAATAGTGCTAAATAAAAACAAATTTTGAAAGTAGGTCTAATTAGGATTTTTCTTTTGTACTACGAAGTATTTTCATATCAGACTAGACTCGATCGTATCGGATCAGACTTAAACAGATCAGATTATATTTAAATGGATCAGACCAGACTTGGACAGTTCGTTACAAAATATATACAAAGATCATACATTTATCAGATCAATTCAAACCCAGAAATTGCCCTAAATAGGAGTAAAAACGTTTTGAAATTCCAAAATAGGAGTATCATGTTTTTTATTCCCTAAATAGGAGTAATCTGCCAAGTTTGGAAGAAAATGCCATGTTTAAAGCCTTGTAATGCCCAAACTTGGCAGAAATTTACTCCTATTTAGGGAATAAAAAACATGATACTCCTATTTTGGAATTTCAAAACGTTTTTACTCCTATTTAGAGAATTCTCTCATTCAAACCACATCGGACCAGACTTCAATTGATCAAATCAGATCAGACCAACAAATAAAAGAAAACATTCATAAACTTTAACTTAAGCTAGCAAACAAGCACTTCATTGGTGATGCGACCAAACTATAAAAAACTCTCTCATTTTTAATCGCTTCAATTTTTTATTTGTGATCTGATTTTTACAATAAAATATATTAAAATTTATATTACGTAATTTTTATTATTTTCCATATGACATCAATATTGTATATAAAAAAAGGGAAAGTTTGACTTAGTAATATTGGACTTTGCAACCTTTTTGTAAAATCATTAATGGGGTGAAAAACTAAAATGATTTTTGTACTGAAAATAGGATGTAAATTTAAATATCACTAAAAATGGGACGTAAAACCAAACTCCCCAAAAAATGTAAATAAAGTTGAATATACGATGGATAAGGTTTCTAAGCTCAACTTTTTTAAGTAGATCTAAGTTCAAAATTTAAGATCTGATGATTATATAATGTAGTCTCATACTGCAATTAGAGAGTATTTTATTTATTGGATGAAAGTGTAACTAAGGAGACATTAAGAGGCCGTTTGGCAACACTTTTTTCGGCTTATCAGGCTTATCAGTCAATTTTTTTCATCAAACACGTAACTTTTACTTTCGCACGCTAAATTGTGTAATAAGCAAAAAAAGTAAGGTTGAAGTTACTTTTCTGGCTGTATTGGCTGAATTTACTGTAGATGACCATTTTAGTTATTTCTACATATAATTTTTTCTTTATTTTATTAATAAAATATATTTTAAAAATAATTGTTTCTTAAATCAGCAGAATCGGCCAATGCAGCCACTTCAGCCAGAGTTTAATAAATTTCAGCAGAATCAGCCAAATCAACTGATTTTCTTGCTACCAAACAGGCTCTAAGTTCTTTAAATATTTTATTTAAAAACAACAACTCAAATCAAATCAACAAAAAAAATAATTGTCACAAGCATTTTCTTTTGGCACTTCAACCAATAAATAAAGTGTCCTCATATTAAATAAATAAAATGTTTCCTCATTGCAAGATGAAATTGCACCATTACCATCATACATACATTCATGAGATCTTAATTTACAATTTGAAAGTACTTAAAAAATTGAGCCTAATAACTTCAACCCACTTAATCTTCATGTTTAATTTTATATTTATATATGTAATTTCGGTGTCATATGAAAGATAATAAAAAATTAAGAATTTTAATACTCCGTGTATTTTTGTAAAATTTGGATTTTAAAAAGGAGGGAGATTTTTTAGTTGGATCCATAACCCATGAAGCGATTGTTTACTAATTTTGGTGAATACTTAAACATAGTTGCATTTGATATTATATGAATTTACAGCTTTTTATGCACGAGTTACATCTTCTTGTGAGTGGGATACATCTTTCTATGCGCGAGTTACATTTGGACTTGGCTCAACAAGTTATATTTTACATACATCTAAGTTAGTTTTTCCATCAACGTGAGTTACATTTTCCATAACACGATTTATATCATAACATAAATCCCTTGTTGTTGAATAAACAAAAAACATTTTATCAACTTTTTGCAAAAAAATTGTTTTTTTGGAGAAAAAATGATTTATTTACAACATTTTATGGTCTTAATATAAAAAAACAAATCATATTCACTATTTAGTAAAAGTAATTAAGCAATTAGACTCTTTTTTATTGTTTACATTGAAATCGATCAATATTTTAGACAAGTTACATTTCGACTTGTTTGCAATCACTTTTCAAATTAACGTGAATTACATTTCTTTACACTCGAGTTACATCGTTTTGCTACTGGAACAAAAAAAAACAGAACTGTGTCAAACCGAGGTACTGTACACGCGTGTGTTGTTCATGCATGGAAATTTTTAATTAAAAAAATGCGCAAAACTATGTCGTTTTGAGCGTGGAGCATGGTGTTCACCGTGGGATGATCCCACGGTATACGAACGTACTGGTGGTTCAGTATTATTAATGAGATGGAAAGATTGATTTTATTTTAAATAACTCTAAATAAAAAATATTTACAAAATTAATGAGATAATATAGATATTATAGAAAAAAGTGTTTGAATATAAAAAATATTTTACAAAAATTTGTATAAATGTAAAAACAACTACACAAAAAATAAATTTGTTAGTAATTTAGTTGAAGAAAAAAAAGTAAAAAATAGTGTGAGATTATGAAATACAATATACTTATTTTATGTGGATTAATAAAAAAATTTACAAATTGGTAAAAGAAAACTAATTCAATTATAATTTAATTAGTTAAATATAAAGATAAGTAATGAATTATTTTTTTACTTTTTCCCTTACTAAATAATTTGGCAGCAAATTATTCTCTCTCTAGGGTTAGTGCCGCTAGAGCTTTTCTTCCGTTTTTAATTTGGCTTAGTCGAAGTACGGCCGCCGTCTCTAGGTGGATTAGTTATCGTTTTGGAAGCATCGTTGAGAGTTTGGATGCAATTGTTGATAGGCCAGTGCACAGAGGGGGGGAATTGCATTGGAATGGCCATAAACTCCTCTTCATAGGAGCCTACCAGTTCGCTGCTTTGATTCGTTGGCAAAGGCGGAGCTTGTGTTGGGATCCAAAGGCGTTTATAGATTTTATTTCTGGATGATAGAGTTTTCTTGTGTACCTTGGACATAGATTTCAATCGCAAATCTCAAGGGGTAAATTGACGTGAGCAAATTGGCGAGCGTAAGAAGGATAGAGTTTCAGACGAATTTTCTAGGGATTGAAATTCTCTTCTACTATACTACAGCAGCTTGCCCTCCTCCGGAACCACCTCTGTGCAATGGCGGACCTGTGGAGGTGCTCGGGAAGATGGAGATGAATTTTTATTTTTCTGCTTGTTTTTTTTTGTCATTTTATTTAATCAGTCTTATTTTTTTTTGTTTTGGTCTACTTCAATTGTTTGTGGCTCAGGTTTGCCCATTAATGGATCAGCGAGTTATATATATTGCTTGTATGAAGGTGATTAACTTCAAGTCTGGTTCGATGGCTGACAGTTGTTTGTGGTTCCTTACTTATTTTAGTCCCTTTCCGAATGCTAATGCTTTGATTTCAATAAAAAAGATAAAGATAAAGATAAGTAAAAAATCCCAAATAATTAGATGTGACTCACGTGTAATTAAATGTAACTCGCGCATAAAAATAAGTAGCTCGCGCATAAGAAAATGTAACTTACGCATAATAAGATGTAACTCGCGCATAAGAAGCTGTAACTGCATGATATATTATCAAAAGCAACTTCAATAATCAAAAGAAAAAATTCCACTTTTGGTCCTTTGAGTTTTGCACCAATTCCACATTTAGTCCCCGTCTTTCACTTTATCCATTTTTGGTACCTGACTATTGTTTTTTTGACCATTTGCGGTCCAACTCCGGGCATTTTTACTATCGGAAAAGGACTATATATGGTCAAGAAAACAATAGTCAAGTACCAAAAATGGATAAAGTGAAAGACGAGGACTAAATGTGGAATTGGTGCAAAACTCGGAGGACCAAAAGTGGAATTTCTTCTAATCAAAATAAGCAAACTTAATGTCTTAAAAACCGCTAAAAATGTATAAAAGTGATAAAAATGTATATTATAGAAAAAGTGTGTGAATATAATAAATATATTACAAAAAATTATGAAAATAAAAAATATATTACAAAAAAAGTACTTCCTCCGTCCCTTATAACTTTACCAACTTTCCTTTTTGAATGTCTCATTAACTTTGCCACTTTCCTTTTTAAGTAAAGAATTTGTGGTTTCAGTTAATTCTCTTTCCTCTGCACAAACTTCAAGCACACATTTTTTACTTTATTGTTCTCTGTGCCGGTCAAACTTGGCAAAGCTATTAGGGACGGAGGGAGTATATATGAATATAAAAAATATTACAGAAACAAAGATAGTGTGGGAATGTGAAATGCAATATACTTGTTTTATTTAGAATATTAAACTTTTAAATACTAATATTGACACTTTCAGAATTTAATATTA